TGACCAATGCGCCGTTTCTGCAAAACTGTTAAAACTAAGTATTTTTTTATTTATATTAAAAAATTCTGAATATTATAATTAAACATTATTAATTTAAATTTTTATTTTAATTGATTATTAAAATAAACTAGTTATGTAAAGCCGCCGGTACGCCGTCGGAAAGCCGTCGGAAAGCCGCCGGAAAATTCCGCGGGATAATTTTGCGGGAAATTAGCTGTCGCAAAATTTCGCGGGGAAATTAGCCGCCGGAAAACCGCCGGAAAGCCGCCGGAAAGCCGCCGGAAAATTCCGCGGGATAATTTTGCGGGAAATTAGCCGTCGCAAAATTTCGCGGGGAAATTAGCCGCCGGAAAACCGTCGGAAAGCCGCCGGAACGCCGCTGGAAATTTTAAGCCGTCAAAAACCGCCGGAAAGCCGCCGGAAAGCCGCCGGAAATGTGACCGTCGGAAAGCCGCCGGAAAATTCCGCCGGTAATAAGTGATTTTCCTGTAGTGGCCACCTCCATCTAATAAAAAGCTTCTTCAATTTCAAAGTTAAACTTAGATTGTTGCGGGCTAGAATATACATGACAAAAGAGTTAGGATTTTACGTCTCAGAGTTGTATAGATATGTAACTTACAAACAGAGAACACAAGATTTTTTATATGGAAAATCCTAGAAAGGGGAAAAATCAAGGGGTTATGCCTAGTTAAAAAGGATTCCACTAGTGTTTGAGTTGATTACAGTTGACTGACTCGTCCATGAGGACGATCAGATTATAATAATAAATCATCTAGTTGAAATCTAATAACAAATTAGGGTTAGGTGAAATTCCAGCAATGTTCGACCGTGCGGAAGTCTGCTGTCCGTCAGTGGTCTAACATGAGTTTGATGTCACTCAGTGATCCGATGGAAGTTCTGCGTCAGTCGGTGGTCCGGTGAAAATTCAGCGTCACTCTGTGACTTGATGGAAGTTTGGAATCGGTCGGTGGTCCGGTGGAAGTCTGGGCATCATTCGGTGGTCCGACGAAAGTCAGGGCGTCAATCGGTGATCCGATAGAAGTCCAAGCGTCAATCGATGGTCTGGTGGAAGTCCAGTGTCAGTTGGTGGTCTAGTGAAAGTCTGATATCACTCGGTGGTCCGATGGAAGTCCGGGTGTCTCTCAGTGGTCCAACAAAAGTTCAATGCCA